CATACCTGCTTTATACAGCCGAGGACCGACCACGATTTGCATGTGAATGACGAGGCAATGAGATTTCGCGTTAACCAACCAAGACCGCCCGGCATAAAACATGGGCACCGCCATTTTGGTTCCATTTGACGCTAGCAGACTGGAGTTTGCATACCGCACAGATTTGCAGGCGTTTCCGAGGTAGGCCATTTTCACAATTTTCCCAAGTGCAACCAACCCTCAACAGTGGGACAAGTGGATGATAATTACAACAGATCTCAGCTGTTGAACCAGTGGATGAGCTACAAATAACAGACACAGAAGGTACCACTCAAAATTTAGACAGTGGAGTGACAGTATGTTGCTGATTAATAACTGAATTCTGCATGTCTCATTCAGTCTGTGCCGCAGAGGAAGTTCCTGAAATCAAGTGTGTGGGTCACTTCCTGGTAAGTTGGCACTTTCTTCTATTCAGATTTTCTTTCTCCTTCAACTAACACTTAAAAAGCCAAAAGGCCATAGGGAATGGATGATCAGAGCAGGTTTTGGTAAACCTGGAAGCTTCTTGTCCTGAACCTGCATGCTGACAGTGAAGTTAGTCATCAACACCATCATCACAAAGAAGAACTTAAATTCTAGGATACAAGATAAAACCAATGACCATATATATATATATATATATATATATATATATATATATATGACTTCAAACATTATTTTCAGTGGATAATTGTATTTAAGTCTATTCTTCATTTGTTTAAACTGTGTTTTGTGTACTGGTCTGCATACTTGAAAAAATTCAATAAAGAAAATGTACCCTTCAACAGGATTTGAACCTGTATTCACCTTTGCAGGAGGAACCCCTGTCTGATTTTATATTCTTTGAGTGCTTGGCCACTAAGAGCATCACAATGAAACAAGGTCCTGTTTGCTATAAATGATATGCAATCGATCAGATTTCAAATACATTCCTATAGTAAAAATCATTTATGAATGCGTTTTTGTAAGAAACATCATTTTTCCAATGCGTTTCTATAATAAGCATCATCTTTCCAATGCGTTTCTATAATAAGCATCATTTTCCGCTGCATTCCCACTGTAGAAATCGTTTTCCGCTGCATTCCCACTGTAGAAATCGTTTTCCGCTGCATTCCCACTGTAGAAATCGTTTTCCAATGAATTTCTGTAGTAAAGGAAGTTGCATGATTGTATATGTATCTGGTTTGCTCGGCTTGCCATGATGTACTGATGAATACTGCACCTTTTATTCATCAGTAGTCACTCATCAAATACTGACCATGGTCAACATTGCTTAACTCCAGTGATCAAACAAGAACTGGTTTTTCAATGTGGTCTGGCCATAAACAGATAAATCATGCAAATTCTAAATTCTAAGTCCTTCAATGTCCATTTTTCACTTAGGTTTCTTGCACTAGTTTTAAAAGAAACACTTGTGTTTTGTTTCTGGTTTTGTTTGTTTCTGGTTTTGTTTGTTTCTTTTAGTATGTATGGACACATGCTCCATTTCTTAAAAACCCACCCTTATTGGTGAGAAGACATATTTTTGTATTTCAAGAAATTATTTACCTTTAGAAGGAATACAAAATAAATTTTAATTAAAACATCAGTATCAACATTATCCCTATGAGTCTAACCAGTCACCCAAACAAATGTTCTGTTGACTCCCAGGATGATGGGAAAATGTTAATCTTGAACCCTGATAGGGATACAAATTAGGTTGAATTATTTGAACTATTTCTTATTTGTTTTTTTTAATCATTTCGCCCATAATAAGGCAAGAAAGCCACTAAGATACAAATGGAGACTGAAAGTGAAAGAGAAGGAAAAGATTTTAGACGGAACTGGGAATCCAATCCTAAACAGGAAACTAGGGATAAACCTATACTCCTGTTCAACAGCCTGGGGTGGTGTGTGATCATGGCAATAGGCAAACCTGTCTCCTTCTATTCATTGTTTTTTTTCATCTTAAGTGTTTCAGTTCTAGCCATTCTCCATATTTATCTGAAATTCTGCAATAGTGTTTGATCATTCCACGGATTTCAGTCTAATATCCTTATTTTTGTTATTTTGATCACTGCATTTCTGCTCATTTGCTTTCCATCCTCAGTATTGCTTCGATTTCAGAGATAAAAGATTCTCCTGACTCCATGTCTTATTTCTGCTAATGTCGACAATGTTTTTGAGGTTTCTCATAAGCTGATATTCCATTTTTTTTTTTCCCCCTCCTGATTTGGTCATTCTCCCAGGTGGGAGCAGGGCATACTGTGTGCTGATCTCTTTTCAGATACAGACTTATTCTTTTCAACTTTGGATTATAGATTATATTAGTCAGAATATTTCAGGGAATTACCTTAATCCTGATAGAAATTAAAAAAATTTTTTTGCTTTAATTCAAGACTTTTTTGGTTGGGGGGAAGGGGTAATGATTTAAAAATCCTTGAGTAAAACTTTTGTGAATATGTTTTTAAGTAAGTTATTTTTTTTTTTTTTTACTTTGCAGAAATCCGAAGTCCAGGATGCAGATCACATTAAAAAACTTTACCAGCGACAGCGCACACGGGAAAATGCTGTGCATACAAAAAGTCTGCTGGAGAAAGAAAAAGAAATTGAAGAACTAAAGAAGAAATATAAGGAATTAGCAGAGAAGATTTGCAATATGGAATCGCATGCGCCACAGGTAAATAAATAAATATATATAGTGTGTATGTGTATATATATATATATATATATATATATATATATATATATATACTTTTTTTTTTTTTATTCCCCCACAAAAAAAATGAATTTTACCTGTTGGACAGGTGCATTTGTTTTTGAATGCTTTCTAATCAGTCAAATTGAAAAATATTTCAGTTTCTATAGTTTCAGATCAGTTGAACTGGCTTTGTTTTGGGTTTTTTTTTATTTTTGTGGCTGGGTGCAGAGTGCCTACCTCATATTCTGTAACTTGCTACCTTGAGTGGTTCTTAGGCCTTGTGCAGGAAAAACATTATTATAAAACACTCAATAATCAAAAGAAGTAATGTCTTCTCTCTTTTTTTTTTTTTTTTTTTTTTTTTTTTAGCATGAGTGTGTGGTTGAGTTACATTAGGTTGAGTGGTGATTCTGGATCTTAATTTTCAAACTAGTTTGTAGTTTCAGTTCAACATAACTGACCTGAATGTTTTTTTTTTTTTTTTTTTTTTGGCGTTGGGGGGGTGCACTTGATGAATAAAACATGCAGTATTCTGTTCTATCCTTTTTTATTCTCTTTCTTTCAAATTTCCCTTTTCTTTCTTTTCCCATTCCTTTCTTCCCCTTTCTCTCGTTCTCTCCCTTTCTTCCCCTTTCTCTCGTTCTCTCCCTTTCTTCCCCTTTCTCTCGTTCTCTCCCTTTCTTCCCCTTTCTCTCGTTCTCTCGCTTTCTCGTTCTCTTTCTCCCTCTCTCACCCTTTCTTGTCTTTCTTTCTTTTTTCTGATGTTGTGGGTGCTTTGAGTTTATTGGTGATTCTGGATCTTTCACTTCACTTTCAAGAATGAATTCACTTATATATAGTATCATAATCCTAATTCAAGCAATGTTTAAAGAATAATGAGAATCAAAATTCATCCTTACATATAAGGTACTGAAGATGAAAACACCCTAAAACAGATCCAGAGCTTTTCAATCCTTGGAGGAACCCTTCCATGACCGACCATGTCTTCAGGGGTGTAGCCATATTCACCATGCTTGTCAGTTGCAGATTGGTGATGCTATTTATTGTTTGAAGTTTTGAATTCAAAGTTGTCAGTCCTTCTAGACTGGTTGCCATCCAAGGCTATAGAATCCAGTCTTCCCTTCTATTTACCCATAGGGAGAAGAGATGGGTTCATACAATTCCTAAGGCTATTTGCATGTAAGTGAATGTAGTGAAACTTGACTGGAATTTGAACTCAGCTCTCCAATTCTTCAATCTGTGGCACTATCCATTATTCCACTATGCCTCCATACTTACTATCTATCTTATTAATTCCAAGGATATATATATATATATATATATATATATATATATATATATATATAATATTTGATATTCCCTAGCATGAACCTAAATTCCTTTATATACAACTTATGGCATTGGTCATAAATAAACTCCCATTCTGACCCCTCCCTCTTTAGAGAGATACCTCATGCCCTCAGGCTCTTTATCTAGACAAAGCATCTCTTTGGGTAGGCTTGAAACTTTTTCTTCAACTGCTATCTAAATTAAATTCTAAACCCCTGATTCAGAGACAAACTCTATGCAGGGCTGAGGAGAACTGGTACAAGGTTTCACTTGTTTGAAATAGACTATACCCACATGAGGTAATTTTGGAGTTTTTGCTATAAATATATATATATATATATATATATATATATATATATTAGGATATATGATCCCAACAAAGTTTCTAATTTTTGACAATTGGAAAAAGGTCATGAAAATATGTTTCAAAGAATAATAATGAGAAACACCAGCTTTGAAACATAAGGTTTCATTATTTAAACATACACATAACATATTTTTTTTGCTTTCAGATCTGATGAACCTTTAAATGATGAAATGTATAATTGGATATAATTTGAAACAAACATACATTCATAAACATTTTCCAATTGTCAAAAATTTAAATACATATATATGCAGGTGATAATCCAAGTGAATCCTATTAATACAATATTAAATATTAAAACTGATTCACACATCGAGCTCAAAGTTTTAAATAAACAGACAACATATTTGATACAATAGGAATTAAGATTACATTAGGTTAATGATCATTTTCATCTTGTAAATTGAAATAAAATTTACAAAAAGTACTTGTTAATTTTTATTTCAATTTACAAGGTAAAAATGATCAATAACCTAATGTAATCTTAATTCCTATTGTATGAGATATATATAAACACAAACAGAGAGGGTCCTATGAATAAATTGTCTACTAAATCACCATTGGTTTCAACCACAGCCTCTAGATGACTTCAGAATCTCCTGCAACTCTTCTGGACAGTCTCCTTGTTTATGTTGGTGAATGCTGTCAGAATCCTTCCTTTCAGTTCCTCATTGGGGTTACAAGGAGTTTTGTTGGCCTCTTGCTTAATTGCACCCCACACATAATAATCAAGGGGGTTGCAGTCTGGGGACATGTAAGTCACAGAAATTGTCTGGCTGTCATGCTTGGGTTCTCCTGCTTGTGTGGTATTGTGCAGAGTCCTGTTGCCAGACATAGGGTCTTCCAGCAGTCACTCTCTTGACCCAGAACGGCACTACCTTCTCAAGGCACTTGATGTTGGCCTCCATGTTGAGTTTGAGACACCGTGGGAAGATGAATGGAGGCATAACATTGCTACCACTAGTGATAATGGTCAACACCATGATGTTCACTGGATATATCATCCATCTCTTTCTGAATCCTCTGCACTGTCCTCAGTTTGACATCTAAACACTCTGAAATGTTCACATTGGAGCTTCCAGTGTGAATGCAAAGCAGTACAGCATTCTGTTTCCAAATTTCTGGTGGAGTGAATTGTGTCATAGTGCTCTTTTCTTACAGACAGTGCCCAACTGACCCTTCTATGCAGTAAACAAAATCAAATTTGTTAAAAACAGACATTGTGTCACAAACTGACTCATTGAGGTTCAAGTAAATCACCTTATTAAAAATGATTTTAAATAAAGAATGATCCAATTTAGTTTTATGATAATTCACCTTCACAGTTATACTAAGTTTATCTTCACAATTTGCTGCTGAGGATGATCTTGAAGGAAATTGAAAGTATTTAGGTTAACAAAAGCTACAGCCCCTTCCTTGATGAATCTCAGTTTAACATCAAGAAGCTAATTAGTGAACTAGAAAGGATTATTATAAAAGTAAATAGACATAATGTGTCTATATTATTCAATGAAACCTGCTTGAATGAAGATATGATTCTTAAATATATATGAGCAATCTTGATGTCTCTAATGCATTTTCTCTTCTATTATTTGTAAAGGTTAACTTATGAACTGTTCAACTGAACCTGTAATTCTGTGAGGAAAAGATAAATCAGTCTGTGTACTTAGAATTTCAGTTTATTGATTCGTTGTTTCGTTTGAGTGTGTTCAAGAGTAGAGTGAGAGAAAGTACAAGAGATGTGCGAATGCTGGTAAAATGGAAGGAGAATAAGATTAGGAGAAAATGAACCATTTGTAATGAAACCAATATCATCAGCTGACAGAGATATTTATATTTCCACAACTCGATGGCATGTCTTGATTTTCTATAGCCTCATTTTCAGTGCTTTTAATGAGACTATCAGCTGGCGTTGAATGATTGCTATTGAAGAATTTGTAATCATTATTTCTTTTTTGTTCTTTTAATATTTCAATTTTTTTTTTTGACTTGTCTACAGGACTTGTCAAATAAGAAGAAAAATAACATATATTTATAGTAATAAGAAAATATGTCAGATTAAATAAATCCTTAAAAATATATAAATTTGGCACATACATACATTTTATATATATATATATATATATATATATATAATGAAATGGACAAAGTCTGACAATTATTTTAAGACATTTTTATGTTTATACATTCTTTTTATAGATAAAAATATTTAAGTAAATGCTCTGTTTATAATAAACAGTATTAATAATATTTATGGGCCTGAATGTCCGAGAAATTTTCACAAAACCTCTCTCTCCTTGAGGAACCTTAACTTCTCTCTCTCTCTCCTTGAGGAACCTTAACTTCTCTCTCTCTCTCCTTGAGGAACCTTAACTTCTCTCTCTCTCTCCTTGAGGAACCTTAACTTCTCTCTCTCTCTCCTTGAGGAACCTTGACTTCTCTCTCTCTCTCCTTGAGGAACCTTGACTTCTCTCTCTCTCTCTCCTTGAGGAACCTTGACTTCTCTCTCTCTCTCCTTGAGGAACCTTGACTTCTCTCTCTCCTTGAGGAACCTTGACTTCTCTCTCTCCTTGAGGAACCTTGACTTCTCTCTCTCCTTGAGGAACCTTAACTTCTCTCTCTCTCTCCTTGAGGAACCTTAACTTCTCTCTCTCTCTCCTTGAGGAACCTTCTCTCTCTCTCTCCTTGAGGAACCTCTTCTCTCTCTCTCTCCTTGAGGAACCTTAACTTCTCTCTCTCTCTCTCCTTGAGGAACCTTAACTTCTCTCTCTCCTTGAGGAACCTTAACTTCTCTCTCTCCTTGAGGAACCTTAACTCTCTCTCTCCTTGAGGAACCTTAACTTCTCTCTCTCCTTGAGGAACCTTGACTTCTCTCTCTCCTTGAGGAAGCTTGACTTCTCTCTCTCTCCTTGAGGAAGCTTGACTTCTCTCTCCTTGAGGAAGCTTGACTTCTCTCTCTCCTTGAGGAAGCTTGACTTCTCTCTCTCTCCTTGAGGAAGCTTGACTTCTCTCTCTCCTTGAGGAAGCTTGACTTCTCTCTCTCTCCTTGAGGAAGCTTGACTTCTCTCTCTCCTTGAGGAAGCTTGACTTCTCTCTCTCCTTGAGGAAGCTTGACTTCTCTCTCTCCTTGAGGAAGCTTGACTTCTCTCTCTCCTTGAGGAAGCTTGACTTCTCTCTCTCCTTGAGGAAGCTTGACTTCTCTCTCTCCTTGAGGAAGCTTGACTTCTCTCTCTCCTTGAGGAAGCTTGACTTCTCTCTCTCCTTGAGGAAGCTTGACTTCTCTCTCTCCTTGAGGAAGCTTGACTTCTCTCTCTCTCCTTGAGGAAGCTTGACTTCTCTCTCTCCTTGAGGAAGCTTGACTCTCTCTCTCCTTGAGGAAGCTTGACTTCTCTCTCTCCTTGAGGAAGCTTGACTTCTCTCTCCTCCTTGAGGAAGCTTGACTTCTCTCTCTCCTTCTCTCTCTCTCTCTCTCCTTGAGGAACTTCTCTCTCTCTCTCTCTCTCTCCTTGAGGAACCTTGACTTCTCTCTCTCTCTCTCTCTCTCCTTGAGGAACCTTGACTTCTCTTTCTCTCTCTCTCTCTCCTTGAGGAAGCTTGACTTCTCTCTCTCTCTCTCTCCTTGAGGAAGCTTGACTTCTCTCTCTCTCTCTCTCTCCTTGAGGAAGCTTGACTTCTCTCTCTCTCTCTCTCTCCTTGAGGAAGCTTAACTTCTCTCTCTCTCTCTCCTTGGGGAAGCTTAACTTCTCTCTCTCTCTCTCTCCTTGGGGAAGCTTAACTTCTCTCTCTCTCTCTCCTTGGGGAAGCTTAACTTCTCTCTCTCTCTCTCTCCTTGAGGAAGCTTAACTTCTCTCTCTCTCTCTCCCTTGAGGAAGCTTTCTCTCTCTCTCTCTCTTTGGGGAAGCTTAACTTCTCTCTCTCTCCTTGGGGAAGCTTGCTTCTCTCTCTCTCCTTGGGAAGCTTAACTTCTTCTCTCTCTCTCTCCTTGAGGAAGCTTAACTTCTCTCTCTCTCTCCTTGAGGAAGCTTTAACTTCTCTCTCTCTCTCTCCTTGAGGAAGCTTAACTTCTCTCTCTCTCCTTGAGGAAGCTTAACTTCTCTTTCTCTCTCTCCTTGAGGAAGCTTAACTTCTCTCTCTCTCTCTCCTTGAGGAAGCTTAACTTCTCTCTCTCTCTCTCTCTCTGGGTGGGTCCGTTTTCTTTTATCTCTCTCTCTCAGAAGCACTTTTTTTTCTCTTTCATTGGAAGGATCTTCAAGTCTCTCTCTCTCTCTCTCTCTCTCTCTCTCTCTGCCTCTTTCTCTGTGGGTGTCACTTTTCTCACTCAGTGTCAATATCTCATTTTGTTCTGTATCTCTGTCTTTCCTGTCTCTTCTTTTTCTCATTAAATCTTAATTTCTCCTACTTTCATTTTGGATTCACATGTTAGTTTCGTTGTCCTTCCTCTCTTTTATCTCTTGTCATAACCTCTCTTCCCCCCAGTCCAATATTCTCTTTGATACACGCATTAAGTCCCCCCCCCCAAAAAAAAACAAAAAAAACCCCAAGTTCTTAAGATTTTCCTCTCATCTTTATAATTTACAGTGACTTCATTACATGTGCATCATTGGAGCCATTAGTAAATTCCTTACTCTTTAATTTCTTGCAGTCAATAAGATATTCAAAAATCTTTATCTGCCAAGGATATCTTCCATTAATAATTTGCCAAGTCATTACTCATTGTCTAGGTTAAAGTAGCTTTGGAAGCCATTACAAATTATGGTTTGTTAATTTTATTTCCAGAGATATTTTTGACATGTAAGATTGGATGGATACAAAATCATTCCGACATTTTTTGACAAAACAATTTAATCATCCAATAAAATTGTAGCACCCCCGAAGGACAATGACAATTATGACTGTGCCATGAGTAGATATTCTAATAAGATTTTCCAAGTCTTTGGTCATTTTGGGATCTTGTAAAACTAACACCAGTGCACTGAGGGTGTACAGGTGATATGATGGATAGAAACTTGGAATGGGAAATCAGATGGCAGAGTTTGAATTCCAGTTGGATTTGTTATATTTACATATATGCAAACACCCTTGGAAAAAATGTATGAATCCATCTCCCCTCAGCTATGTGTTAAATAGTTCTTGTATCTAAAAAAATTATTCTCAAAAATTTCTTAATGAAATATTCACTCACAAAAAAATTAAAATTATGGTTCTTACAATCGAAAAGATTTTTCTGGCTTTAAATAACCCATAAAGGAATGATAATCTGTAAAAATATATATATGAATGAATCGAGCAAGAACTCTGTCAGAGACATAGCAACATATACTTCAATAAGGTTAAGTGTAGTTAAAGAGGTCAGTGCAACTAGGTCTTGTTCTACAGAGGGCAAGCTTTCAAGAAACAGAATGCATGAAACTAGACATTGGCACAATTTTTATGAAAAAAGAATTAGTGAAGCTACAGTTTCCTCAATGGGTATGTATTTCAACAGAAAGCTAGTAAAATGTACATTTAAAAAAATATACTTTTAGATACAGCTGAACTTGCAGATCAAATATAACCTCTGAGTATAGCTTAACAACATATCAACTTCTTATGGGTCATTCAATACCAAACTTATATTTTCTTTGAACTTTGAAATATAATAAAGATATGTGTGATTCTGCTTTTACAATTGAATACATGGTAGATGTTACTCTGCTTTTGTGCATATACATGTTTGTGTGGGCATAATTCTAGAGGCAGTGATATGTGTGTTTTTTATTGAAGTTATATTTTGTCATGTGGTTTGATTGTAGTATATTATATGGATTAGCATCATGAAAGAGTTCTTTTATGTTGGTTGGTTAATTTTTTTTTTTTTTTTTTTTTTTAGCAGTATATCAACCTTTATGGTTTTTAATTGCTGAAATTTAAATATTTTGAATGCAAATTTATGGCATCAACTGTATGCCTTCAAATACAGATAAGATCTATTGTTTGCCATTTTGCTGTAAATTGCATTGTTGGTTATATTACTATAAATTTGTATTGTTGGTAATTTTTTTATATAAAAATGTATTGCTGGTATTTTTACCATAAAACATTTTTATATTATTTTGGGTTCACTATTTGCTTATATCTAGGACCCTAGGTAGGGTGAACCTAGGACCAATAGTAATTAAGAGGTGGTTCCATGCTTCTCAAAAGTTCAAGAGGCTTTACTGCCTAATGCATTTTATCATCATACCTCGGACTAGAGTGTAAACAAAGGCTGTCAACTGAATTTTTAATATGTAAGGTTTAAAATGAATTTTTAAAAATGTAAAAGCATTCTTGAAGATTTCATTTTAGCTTTAATTGAAAGCTAAATGATTAAATTTACTATTTCCAATAAGCAATATACTCTGGTGTATCTCAAATAGAAATTATATTAGAATCTCAAACTTTTTGGTCGCTTTCACAAAATCAGCTATTTTTGACATATTTTGACACATTTGTAAACAAAAGTTAATTCTTGATTTTAAAAATCTTCCAAAAATAAAATATACTCTTCTGACACTTTGAGTAATATTAGCTGATGTAAAGTTGTAAGTGTAAGCGTTCTCAAAACAAATTTGTCACAGATTACTTTCACAACAACACAAAGAAAAATCACTAAGTACAGACTCAAGTATTGGGGGCAGAAAGAAATGCTGAAAACTCGATTTGCTGGTACTATCTTAAATCACAATGTGTGTAACCAGTCAGGAAAATAACTCACACTCCAACAAACGCCGTAGCCAAAATGCCCGAATTTTCCTTCCGAGGTACCTGATTATCTCTATCACTACAAAAGTATAATTAATCTGATTTGAAAAATTATTTACTTTAATTTAAAATAACAGAGAAATAGATTTTTAAAACTAATGGTAGCAGTGATTGTGTTTATCGCCATTGCTTGTCGCCTGTAGATCATTTAACAAGTAATGATAAAATCTGTCAAAAACTTTGCTGTTGTTCTATGGAGACTTTATCTGTTAAAACATAATTTAAGAAAATGACAGGTGAGTGCTTTTTCATATAATTCAGTCTTAAAATGTTTTAAGAATATTAAGTTTAAATTTACTATAGTCATTGCTCTTATTTTTTGATTGTCTCATGTGATTGACAATACTTTCAAACAAGGGTAAGTTACATAATATTTTATATACATACATACAACAAAAATTTAAAAACTATTGGGAGTAAATGACTTTTATTTGCCTTTTTAATTTGTAAATATAGTTTTTTAACTTAATAACAATATCACCTAGCCAAATTGAAGTAATGCAGAATTTAAACAATTTATAATATAAATTGTTATAATTAGAATTCTTGTAAAAGTTAACAATTCATCAAAATGTTTTCTTTAACAATAGTGCCCTTAATAAATGTTATTTATAAAAGCAATTGAAATCTTTTCTAATTACACAATGTCATAGTTTGATTGCATTTTTTATTTTAAGATTCAGAGCAGATTTTTGTGAAATGAGTAACAGTTTAAAAAAAAAATAATTCCTTAAAGAGTTCTGCTTTAACTAATAAAACAAAATTTGAGATTACAATTTAATTTTTTAAAATTTTCTGAAACTAAGTGTGTGTAACACAAACACACACATATATATATATATATATATATATATATATATATAAAATTTTAAGTAACTTTATTCATTTGTTAATAAGTCCTGAAAGTTTCATTAAATTCTGACATTTGTTTCATTTTTGCAAGAATTTCAAAATCAATGTGTTTTTCACTGGAAAAAAGATGCAAAAACACTGACAAAAAAAACAAAAAACAAGCTTTTTAACCAAAATTTCAAATGTCCTTCAAAGGAGTAAAAAAAAAATTAATAAAATAATAAAAAAAATACTTTGATCTTTCCTCTTAATAATAACAAACATTTTGATGATAAAAGTTTGTTTATATTAAGTTTGGGCTTTTTTTTTTTTTTAATCATGCTGTTTTATCCACGAGCACACCTAGTTAAAAATGACTTGCTTCAAGCAGGACGATGAACATACATGCCTCATGCTAGACTTGAATTCAGGCTGCAATACCACAAAAATTCAGAGTTGTGAAATGAGATAGTAACTTTGAGACTCAAACATTAAGGGAAATCCTAATCATTTCTTTATTATTGACTTCAGTAGTTCTCAAATATTGCAGCACATCTGATAGGTGTGGTAGAAGAGGATAGCAGGTGAGGCAGAATAATTGAAATACAATCAGTTTCACTATTTACATTATTCATACTATTGTCCTCATCTTTGTCGCCATATTTATTACAACATTTCGGCCATTGTACACTGTGACCTTCTTCAGGTGGTTGGAATGTCGAACTGAACCCTTTATTTCGCTCACTGGGGTAGACTGTTCTAGTTCCACGTGCCATGTCTAATGGATGTCAGTTATCAGTTATCTCCTGTTACTTCCCCTCTCCAAGTTCTCCACTGCCTTAACCGAGTATTGAACTCACACTCTTTGGGTCCTGTCACTGGATCTAACACCTTTATTCACTGTGCCATGTGTCCTTGAGGAAATATAGACAAATAATCAAAGTTTAAAAAAATTTTTATGCCAAAAATAAATAAGGTTTCAGAATTTCAAATATTATTATGGATTATT